TCAGGCCAGTGCTAATTTCTCCTAGCGATAAATCTTTCTAATACTGGAAGGGCCTCGTTCCAGGCAAATTCTGCCTAATTTCCTCTTCGAAAGTTGCCAAGTTCTCTCTCATTGTTGTATTGTCTCGAGAGGTGAGAAAAACAGCCAAGGGTGCACTGTGGGTGACTGTTCCCAAGTTCTCCTTCCTGGCCCAACTTCTTAGGGAAAAAACAGCACGTGCTTTTCAGACCGGAAAGCTCTTTCTCACTGGCTTCCAGTAAGAAGGGAACCCACCCTGTCCCTGCCCCTGACGCCTGGCCTCTGGAGATCCTCTTGGGAGAAGAGCCGGTCTCTGAGACCATCGGGAGACGAGAGTCTCTTTGTTCTGGTTCCGCCTAGACCCTGTTTTAGGAGCAGGGGGCTCCTGTCTACTTCTCACGGATGGGCAGAAACCCAACTGCAAGGCAGAAATCCCCAGATGATGGGCGCCACAGGGCTCTTTAATGCTGGCTACCCCACCCCACAGGCCGGCAAGGAGCCCCCCCGCCCTGGACGCTTTCATTGCACCGTTTATGTTCTTATGTAGTTACTTCCTCACAATGAAACATCAGCACAAAGGGCATTAAGGGGGGAAAGAAGATAAATAGGCCCTTTCTGCACCCGGGGATTCTAATAACATGGCATTAGGGAGCTCATGCTGAAAAACACAAAGCTTCCAGAAAGACACCAACTGGACAAGGCTGGGAGGCTGGTGCCTTTGTCTGGGGATTCGACCTGCTGGCACATCGCTCGGGCTCTCTGCGCTGGGAGAAGGCACGGTTGCCAGAGATCGTCTCTTAACCTTCCCTGAACTCGGATAGGTCAGCTCCCAGAGGTCTGAGCGAGGCACCGATTCAAATTCTAACAAAGCAGCTTTGTCAGGAGGTCCCTGGGAGAGAGACGGAGGTTGGAGAGGGAGGAACAAGAGGGAGGAGGAGACACAGAGGCAGTTAAGTCAAGACGCACGGAGAGAAGGGCCTGGGGTGGAGAGAGGCTTGGGATGGAGAAAGACATCAGAAAAAAAAACAACAAAAAACTGTAAGAGAAGCAGAGAGTGAAATACAGCGAGAGAGAGGGAGACACGGGGAGAAGAGAAAGTGTCAGAGACAGACAGAGGAAAACAGATTCACGTGGGTACGAGAACCCGAAAGAGAGACCAAGAGCGAGAGCCTGGCAGGCGAGGGTGGGGACCCCTGCAACCCCAACATCACCCCACGGGAGGGAACAGCCGTGCACATGAAGTAGGACGTGACCCTCTTCCGAGCTGCTGGAACAGGCCAGACCCTCCGGCCTTGTGAGGTTACTTCCTCTGGCAGGGAGGCGGTGCGTGGAGCACGGGGCCGCGACGAGAAGTTCCAGGGTCCAGCCCCGTGCAGCACTTCCATCATTCTGCGATGACGGAAACGGTCTTTATCGGCACCGTCCAAGCAGCAGCCGCTAGGTCCGTGTGCTATCGAGCACTCGAAATGCGGCCAGTGGACCGTGGATCTGCATTCTCAACTTGATTCAGTAAATTAAAATGCAGACAACCCAGTGTGGCTAGTGGCTGCCGGCGGAAGGCACCACTGGAGGGGGGGCATTTCACCCTCTGCCTGCCCTGTGGCCAGGGGCACCCAGACCCAGAAGAAGCTGCTCCAGGCGGCCTTGCCCCCTGAGCACAGCGGGCTGCGTCCTGGTCCTTCCTGCACGCACGGCAGGGAGGACTGCTCAGTCATGCCACAGCTCCGGGTCCCATCACACAAACCGGGACAAACCCAAAGAAGGGTCCTGCGGACTGTGTCGACAGCACGTGAGGAGCGCTGCCCTGGGGCTTCAGGTACCTTCCAGCCCAAAGCCCATCTCCAAGATAACTCGGAACCCACTTATGTAACAAGGCGGCCACACACCACCCATGAATCTGGGGGGGGGGGGGGGGGGGGGGGGGGGAGGGCCATGATGAGAAGGAAGCAAGGTGGAAGCTGGTGGAAACGGCGGAGGGAGAGGCTGAGGTGGGGGGGGTTGCACCCACCTGGGCTCCCCGAGTAATGGGGTGGAGGGCGTGTGTGAGTCCTGCTCTCCTGCTCCAGCCTCTGTCCACCGGAGCTGGGGGGGGGCAGCGAGCAAGGGGGGTGCTGGCGCAGGCCCGCCTGTCGGCTCGGCAGGGGGAGCTCTGACGCGAGGCCACGGCCGGACGCAGCCCCAGCCAGGCGAGTCATAACCGCCGGCCCGCAGCCACGGCCTGGGTTAAAGGGACATTCCACTGCCCAGCAACCCACATCCCTCTAAGCCTCCCTGCCCCTCCACCCCTGGGCGAGCGGCATTCGGGCCTTCCTTGGGGGGACGCCGACCCCTCCAGCCCCAGGAACAATGCGACCCTCCTGCCGGTCAAGCAGCAGCCACTATACAGCCCAGGAGATTGGGGCTCAGGGCCCTCCCCACTCTAGCTGGACTACTTCAAGGTTTCCCTCCCTCCTGCCTCCCTCTGGTGCTCCCTCTCTGTCCTGCAACTAGACTGATCCCTCTACTGTCCCTTCCAACCCGTAAGAGCTTTCCATGGCTCCCCATTGCCCTCGGAACATAGCCTTGGCTTCTTCAGTCGGCTAATAAGACCCATAGAGTCTGGCTGTGACCCAAGAGCTCTGGACATCATCCACAGGGCCCTGAACCTGCCTCCCCCTCTCTTCCAGCGCAGCAAACACCCCCTCTCTCACATTCATGCTTTGCACCCGCATTCCCTCTGCCCCGAGTGTGTGCCCCCCATCCTGGCACACTCCTACTCATCCCTCTATGCCCCACTATAACGTCGCCACCCCTGGGGAGCCTTCTCTGCCCCCCCCCCAGGCCGAGTGAGTCAGTCCCTGCCCTCTGGGATGTGCCTCTATTTTAGCTGTTATCTCTGTAGTCACGTGTTTAGAGCTCGGTCTCCCCAGAGAGCCCCACAACTCTTCGAGGATGGGGCCAAGGGGCTCATTTACCTTCCTCCCCCAGCACAGGGGGCAGGCCGGCTCGGTGCTCTGTGAGTCAGTAGGATTGTCTCTGTACCCCTCTTCTCCAGCTTTCCACAGGATGCTATTACTGTCCCCACCCGCCGAATGTCCCGCCGCTGCTCAGGTCCCAGCCCAAGGGGGCCGGAAGTGGCTGCCCCCACAGACTCCAGATGGCAGCTGTCAGAGGGGCCGGAAGGACAGACAGGAGAGTTCTGCTGGCTGGGCTGGGGGGTGGGGAGGAGGGAGAAGGTGAGGGCAGGTAGAAGAAAGACAGCCAAGTGCAGAGGGCGCCAGAGCTGAGAAGAGAACAGACGGGCGGCCATGGTGTTGGTGTCCTCCAAGGGACGACAGGAAAGAAGAGGATTTTTCTAAAGAATTAGCTCTTAGAGTCAGCTTGTTGAGCTCAGCATTCCTCAGAGGCCAGACCATGTGCCTCTCGCCTTCAATGTTGTTACACAATCTAGTGGCCGCCTTGGAAATGCGTTTTAGGGAACATCTCTGCAGGCTCAGGGCAGATCTCCCTGGAGTGACAGAGCTAGAAAGAATATGTTCCTAAAAGAAGGGCCTGTTCTCCCGAAGACAAGAGAATGAATTCTCTCTAGATGAGCACTTTCTGACTCGGGGTCCCTGCCCAAAACGACACAGGACACATCACATGTATACACCGCTGCAAATTTTTCAGCCACGATTCCTTGCCTGGTGGACCCACCTCTCCCGGACCACAAGGTCCTGGAAGGGCCATGAGAGGACACAGCCCCCCTATGGTCAAGGCTGGGTATGTAACCTAGGGTGGGGCCATCCCTGGGACATAGGGGACTACAGCGGGGCCAGTCAGAATCTTCTATGAGATTTTACTGAAGGGTACTGGAAGGAAAATGGGCTCTCACATTTTTAAGGACATAAGTCCCTCTTTCCCGGGGTGCCTGGGGGGCTCAGTCGGTTAAGCAACCGACTCTTGATTTTGGCTCAGGTCGTGATCTCACGGTTCATGAGTTGCAGCCCTGAGGCGGGCTCTCTGCTGGCAGTGAGGAGCCTGCTTGGGATCCTCTCTTCTTCCCTCTCTGCCCTTCCCCTGCTCATGCACCCACGTGTATGCTCTCTCTCAAATAAATAAATAAACTTAAAAAAAAAAAAAAAGTCCATTTTTCTCATGCATGGAGAAACCGTCCCTGACAATGAAGCCAATGCACAGAAAGAGAGCCAGGAAATGGAGACAGAGAGAGTTTCTGAATACTATTATCACTTGACTCCTGGATCAAGCTATGCCTGAAGGCCTCTCTTATACTTCCCAGTTACTTGAACACAATTACAGCATCAAATTCTTTTCGCTTCAGAGAGTTTGAATGTTTGTATCATTTCCAAACAACAGCCCTGACCGATACGCACAAAATGCACCCTTTTCCAAGGGGACAGCTCTGGGGGGCTCAGTCGGTTGACCTTTGATTTCGGCTCAGGTCATGATCCCAGGGCCGTGGGAGGGAGTCCCGCATCAGGCGCTGGGCTGAGCGGGGAGCCTGATTAAGACTCTCTCCCTCTGCCCCGTCTACTGCTCGTGGTGTGCACACTCCCAATCTCTCTCTCTCTCTCAAAGGACAAAAAAAAAAGACTGAGACCGACGAGAAGAACCTCCTCCTCACTCGAAGTAGAGCAAAAGGTGGCATGTGTTGCTTACTATGGCCTTCTAAGGCCTAAAAACATGCCTTTGTGCCTCAGTTACCTCATCTGTAAAATGGAGATCAAAAGACCCATTTCTCAGGTTTGTGGCGAGAAGGAAAAGCGTAAGACATAAGGTTCCTGGGCTGCAACGGGCAGGCGCTAGGAGCTCAGTCTGTGCACATTCCCTGCTCGTCTCCCAGAGAGGGCCCCACGGTTTATACCTCTCTTATGCTGGAGAAGAATGTGCCCTAAGCTAACTAACCTTCCCTCCTGGGAGCTGGCCGTCTCCTCTGAGGAAAGCGGAGTGCGAGAGCGCGGAGGGGGCAGAGGAAACTGCTTGTTCATGTTTGTCTCTCCTACCTGCAGTAAGACTGTTCCCCCAGGGATTGTGAGCTGTAAACAGTACTTCGGGGCATTCTCCCAGGACAGCAGCTGAACGTCTTCAATAGCGCTGTAGGAGACCGAGTTTTCCATGTACCCAGTTGGCTGCAGCAAAAAGAAAAAAAGAAAAAGAGAGAGAGAAGACACACATTGGTTACAAGATCAGGCACAGTATCCATGCCTCAAAGAAGGTTCCAGAAAACATCCTCCCACCCCCCCCCCCCCATTCTGGCAACAGGCAAATTGAGTTGGTACAGACACGGGGCGACTCTGGAGACCAAAGGAACTCCGTCTTTCCTAGCATCCCAGCTGGCAGGAAGGGACTGCAGTGGAAACTCGCCCCCGTGTTTGGAGCTGTAGAGTCGGGACCAGACTGGGGGCACCTTAAGGGCAAAGCCTGTACCCTGTTCCTCTGGGCGTTCGCGGGGCCCAGCACAGGGCAGAGCCTGGATCCCTCCAGCCCTCACTGTGTCCAAGCCACTGCCTTCTCCTGCCCAGAATGCAGTCATAGACCCCCTTCGATTTCCCGGTCTCGTCTCCCCACCCAGATATCCACTCTCCACTCGAGACCCAGGGCCACATTCCAAGTCGACGAACTGTATCCCCCTATTCCCTGTTCAGTGTCCTTCCACAGCTCCCGGTGGCCCAAGCACGAATCCCACGTGCCCCTCCACCCCTGCCAGGCTCCTTCCTCCAGCCGCACCCACTTTCTCTTCCCCGTCGGCCCTCCCCAATGGCCCAACCGGTGGCACCACACAGTTAGCCTGCCCTTTGTCCCCAAACGGTTGTGGCCCAATCCCTGGCATCTCCTCCTCCACTGTCCAGGCCTCAGCTCCACAGGTCTTCTGGGGGGCCTGCTACCCCCCAGACCCTAAAGCCCACCTGGCCACATCCTTCCCTGTGCCCTCGGCGCTCCGTGCACCCCATTTAATCACTGTGGACGCCTACCATATGTCATCTACTGATGCCTGCCTCCTGGCCAGGCTGCAGCTCCGTAAGGTCAGCCCCACGTCTGTCTTGCTCCCTGCCCTCTCTCCACAGAGCCTGGCACATGGCAAGGGCTCAACAATTTGTGTCAAAAGGAAGAACTGGAACAGCTTTCGTCGGTCAATGCTGGGGTGAGGGCAGGGAGAGAGAAACTCACAGCCGCTCACTACTCTCTGAGGGAGCTCCCCTGTCACGGAGAGAAGGCACCAGGAGCCAAGGGGATGCACTGGTCACCAGGTATCAGCAGCGTCCTTATCGCCCTGACCCCAGGAAGCCATACTTTAGCAGAGCCAGAGGCAAGCGTAGCTTAGCTGAGAAGGCAGAATGTGACGGCTGACACGTCCCCAGCCGTGACACGCGCCAAGCGAGGTCTCCTTCCATCCTCACAGCGGCCCCGTGGAACAGGTGCCAGGGCCATCCCGCCGCACGATGAGGAACCTGAGGTGTCACATGACTTGCCCAAGGTAGGCCAGCTGGGACGGGGGCTGGCCAGGGCCGAACCGAGCTGGTGACTCAGGAATCGGTGCCCTACCCACTCCCCACTGAGCTGCACACAGGAGGGGGCGCAATGTAAAACCCATGGCCTGACGAGTTCATTCTACCATCAGGATTTAGGACCGCCACCAGGTTTTAAATTTCCATTTCTGTCTGCCTAAGTTGAGATGCAGTGGTGGTGGTAGAGAGGGCTGAGGGCACAGGCTGCGACAAATTTCCCTGATATGATCGGTCACTGGGCTCAGGAAGGGAGAGAGGTTGACCAATACATTCGTTCTTTCATTCATTCATTTACTCATTCACTCATCTGACGTATTCGTTGGGCATCTATTACGTTATGGGCCCATATGCCGGATGCTGGAGATACAGCAGTGGATGAGACAGGAGCCCAGGGGGGCAAGGAGATAACAAACCAAATACACAGATAAACAGCAGGTGCTGCACCAAGAATCCAAGAGGGTGCGCTCACAGGGGCTAAGAGCTGCGGTGCCCGGTGCCCCGGAGAGGTGGAGGAGAAGTACGCCCCGGAGCTCGGAGCTCGTGGCCAGTGCAAAGGCCCAGGCGTGGGAACAAGCTGGGCGTGTTCAGGGAGGAGACTGCCCAAAGGAGGAAGGCCACTCCCAGAGGGTCCTGTGGGCCCAGCCAGGGGTCTGGGGTGGAGTGTTGCTTGGGGAAGAGACTCGGGAGGAGGGGACAGAAGCAGGAACAGCCTGGAGGCTCCAGAGCAGGTCCCTAGCAAACAGAGGCGATGTGGGGGGGGGGGGGGGGGAGGCAGCAGGGGAGGGGCAGTCAGATCCCTTCTGCCCTTCCCCAAAGGCACAGAGCCCACCCCTCAGCACCAATCCCAGGAGCCTCTGTGTCTGACCAGGACAGTTGCCGTGGTGCATCCCAGAGGCAGATGTGTGGGCTCCCCTCACCTTGCAGCCTGTGCCTGCGCCCCATGCACTGTTCCGTTCTCGGTATTCCGCCATCAATGACTCAGCTCTGACTGCACATCTCGTCCCGAGAATATCCGTGCAACCAGGGGCTCGGGGGATTGGTTAGACACTTATTATCTGAACCCACGTTCAAGTATTTATTGTGTGCTGTCTCCCCTGCTAGTGTTCCAGCACAAGAGCAGAAATCTCCACCTGTTCTGTTCCAAGTGCCCAAACAGACCCTGGCACTGAGACGGGGGCGCTCATTTCCTCCTAAATGAAGGAATTATTTTCCTGAATAACACCGTGTTCATCCATGGATTACTTCTAATCATGACACAGAACATACTTGGGGAAGATGCTTTCTGGGGATCATTTTAAAAATTAAATTTTAAAATTAAAACTTAACTGACAAATGAAAAAAAAAAAAATCTCCTTCCAGAAGCAATGGCACCCGGGTACCAGATGCGCCAAAGGCCTTTCTGTAGTGGCCAAGTCCACCTCCCTCCCTTTACGAGGTCTGGTCGGCCTCCAAACTCCATGCCATTGACCCCTTGAGACATACAGAGGCCAGAGGACACGGGTTGAGCCATGGCCACTAACACATCTGGAAAACCGCCAGACCACACCAAACAAGAGAAAGATAGCAACGCCCATTCTGTAAATATCTGGACTCGATGATCCAAACCGAGCCAACGGCCAGCCTCGTTTCTTTAGAAGCGCACCTATGGGCCTCGAAGCTTCTGCCTCCCACCGGCCTCCCTGGGGACCCTGGGACACGACGAGGCTCCGCACTGCCCCGTGTGGCACCAAGCCCGTGGCGACCACACGCTCGGGGCGGGGTGACCACTCCCGACATGTGCATGTGCGATGTCCAGGAGGCGGGGCTTGCCTGTGTCTGCCTTTCTCACGACCCTGCTCCAGCTGCTTCAATGTGGCCTTGATTAGAAGTTACAACACAGGCTTTTTGGGGAAAGGTTGGGTATAAATAAATACATACTGGTTTTTAATAGCAGACGTTCTGCTTTCCCACTGTTCGAAACAGTACTGGCTAAAAGCAAAATGTGTACAGAGAGACCTGTGTTTGAGTCTCTTAACTGTGTGGCTTCCTGCAAGTTACTGTACCTCTCTGAGTCCATTTCAGCCAATGGTAAAACGAGAATTTATCAGACAGGATTGTTTTCTAATAATCCTTAAAGGAGACCCAGTCTGTCAAGGCTTAGCACCGCAACTGGAACATTCTAAAAAGCGCAGTAAAATGAGGTACTGCGAGAAACAATAAACTCTACCTCTAGGTTCTTTCTCCCCCAGACCCATACCTCTGGTCTAACTGTGACAAAAGGATCAGATAAACCCCAACTGAAGGACGTTCCTCACAACACCTGACCAGTACTCATCAAAACCAAGGAAACTCCAAGCAACTGTCCCAAACATGAGAATTCTCTGTCTATGGAGGAGGACCACTCCTTGCACTGTGGGATCCCCAGTGGGATCCTGGGACAGAAGACGGACATTAGGTAAAAACGAAGGGAATCAAAGCATGGGCTTTAATAACAGCATATCACTACTGGTTCATTAGTTGTGACAAATGTATCATGTTTCTGGGAGATGTTCACAACTGGGGTAGCGGGCTTAGGGGTCCATGGAAACTCTGTGCTGCCTTTGTAACTTTTCTGTACATCTCAAACTGTCCTAAGATAAAATGTTCACAGACAGAAATTAACTGCTGCCATGTTATTACTAGCATCGTCTTCGACGACAGAGCCTAGGCAGGAGCCCAGGGGGCTTACAAGGGAAAGGGGACGGATCGGGACTGAGAGTCCCTGAATGCTCTCTTGGGATTCAGGTGTGAGCCAGTGCTGACCACGGGCCTCCTTCGTCCGGGTACTTTCACACGGCTGGGGCGATTTCACAGATAACTGATAATTCCTTGGTAATCTGAACACGATGATCTGAGTTACAGTGCAGGAGATTCCTACATGGGGTAAAGGCTGAGTCAGATAAAAAAGAAAAATTTAATTCCCCTCCACTTGAGGGAAGCTGGGAAATCCAGCTCTGAAAGGTACATGTAAGAGAACAACAAGCAGACTCAGTTGTTTCTACATGTAAAACAGTGCGAGGCCATACTGCACGATTCTGTGTACGTGACGTCTCGGAAGGAGCAAAACTATGGAACTTGAAATCAGACTAGCGCTTTCCAGAGGCCAGGGTGCGGGTGGGGACCAGTTACCAAGGGGCACGGGGAGCTGTGTGGGGTGATGGAAATATTTAAAAAAAAAATTTTTTTTTAAGTTTATTTATTTATTTTTGAGAGAGAGAGCGAGAGAGCATTGTGAGTGGAGGAGGGGCACAAGAAGAGAGAGAATCCCAACCAGGCTCTGCACTGTCTGCACAGAACCCAACTCGGGGCTGGAACTCATGAAGTGTGAGATCATGACCTGAGTTGAAATCGAGAGATGGGACACTTAACCGACTGAGCCACCCAGGTGCCCCTGGAAATAGTCTGTATCTCGATGGTGGTGGTGGTGGTTACCTGACTGTGCATCTTTGTCAGAACTCACAAATCTACACCCTTAAAGGAGGAATTTTACTGAAAGTAAATTAGAGGTCAAACCTAAGAAAGGCAATGTGTGAATACTGTAGATGATTTGGAAGCCGATGAACAGAATGAAATCTTTCAGATAAAATCACGTCAAGACCACTCATTAGCACTTTGGTATATTACCTTTATATTATCCTCCTGATTATTTTTTACACATGATTTTTTTTCTTTTTTTTTTTACAGAGTCCAAGTCATACAATACATATAATCTTGTGACTTGCCTGTTTTTTTTTTCTTTTTAACATAATGTTCCACCACATGCACATCGTATATTCTGGACAATAATTTGCAGAACTATTATTTAGTGGCTATAAAGCATTTGGCCACTGTTTTATCACTGCTTCCCACCTCCCCCCACCACCATGGACAGTGTGGTTGTTTCATTTTATGCCACTATAAACAACTCCACAATGAACATCCTTGTGAAACGTGTTTTTCTACCCTATATTTAGGATTATTTCCTTAGGCCAGATTCCCAGAAATGGAATTACTGGGACAAAGGGTAAAAGCATATTTTACGTCATTGCCAAATTGCTCTCATTAAAGAGATATTAAAGAGAACCGGGGAGCCCTGGCTAAGGCTGGGGGGGGCCTTCGTCCTGAGCCCCGGGCCTGGCTGGGTCCTGGAAAAGCCAGGCTCTGATCCCGGTGAGCTCAGAGGGACCACATGGCGGCCAAGTGCCCACAGCCCGACTGCGCCGCACAGGGGCTGGGATCACAGAAGTCTGCACACAGGGGTCCAGGCGCGTGGGGACGCTGCTCTCCCGTGGGAGTTGAGGTGCCTCTGTCCTTTTGCCCTTGGGGACTGATGAGGGGCTAGCTTGGGGGTCTTGGTGTCCGCCAGACTAGGAAGAGAGCGCTCCCCTTCTGCTTCTGTTTCTGAGATGAGCTGCTTCTCTAGCATCCCCTCGATGCCCGGATCTGGGCTCAGGAGAGCAGAGCCTGGAGGGGCTTCGTGAGGGCCCCTAGTCAACAAAGACCCTCGGAGCTGACATTCCACACTGGGAACCCCCTCGGACCTCCCACGTCAGAGTAGGCAAGGAGTGGGGTGACCAAACTCCCCTGAAGCAGCCCCTCCCCCAGAGGCCCCCAGGCTGCACCTCCCCCTGCTTCCCAGGGAGCCAGCTCCTTCCCACCCAAACCTGCCTGGTTTCCATGGGGATTCCTCTAAAAGCGAATGTGAATCATGATGTCTGCGACCCCCAAGACGAGGCTCAGGCTGACTCAAGGCATATGTTGGGAAGGTGTCCAGCACCAATCCCAGGCAGGGAAGAGGCTCCCAGACCCCAAGAGGAGAAGCCGGTCTGGAAACACCCTCCATGAGCTCACTCCCGAGGCAGGTGGACGTGGGAGGCTGGGAAACCTTGCCCCCCGGGGGACCCGGGCTGAGAACAGCAGGCTGTTTGCCATGGGTGGGGGTGGGGGTGGGGGTGGGGTCGGCGCCCTGGCACCATGCTGGGTGAGCCACGCTATAGACAGGTCCCCCTCTCCCTGCATGGAAGCTGCCTGAGTCATCGTGGAGGGAGACCCCTCTCTGCACAGCCCGACTCCACATGGCACCGTCCCACTGAAATGAGGACGGGTTTGCTGCTGCCCGCTGCCCCCTGGACACACACCCTGGACTCAAAGGACAGATGTCAGGTCAGAGGATAGGGAAGCCTCTTCCAGCCCGTTTGGAGAGTCAACAACAACGACAACAGTAATAATGACGGCACTGTTACCTCTGGTAGTACCACAGAACGGCTCGGATCAGAGGAGTGGGTTTTAGCTCACCTCCCCCTGCTGCTTTCTAGAACTGAGATAAAATTCATATGAAATCAAACGCTAACCACTTTAAAACGTACAACGCAATGGCCGCTGGCACATCCACAGTGTCGTGCAACTTCATGGCACTTAGTTCAGTGCTAAGGCATTCTCAGCGCTCCGAAAGGAGACTCCGTACCCACGAAGCGGTCACTCCCCCACGGGGCTGCTGGCCGCTGGTCTGCTACCTGTCCCCGCGGCTTGGCCTCTTGTGGACATTTCCCGTCAGTGCAATCACGCAGCACGTGGCCCTTCTCGCTGGCTCTTTTCCCTGGAGGTTCCGGAGGTTCACCCACGTCACAGCATGTATTGGTTATGGCTGCATAACGTCCCGCTGAAGGGAGAGGCCACGTGTGGCTTACTCCTTCGCAGCCGAGGGACATCTGGGTGGTTTCCCCCTTTGGGGGAGGGGGGACGGTCTGCTGCATATTTTTCCGGTGATAAGGAAGGACGTGTGGCCCGCAAACACAGCCCTGGCGAAGCCCCTCGCACGGAAAGGCACAGGTGCCCCTGGTTAACACGCCTCGAGCGGGTAGCACGTGGCCAGCACCACGCCGAGGACACGTCTTCTCCCACTTGACCATGCCGCAGCCCTGGAGGGGGGCCGTGTTTACCCCTGTTTATCCGTATGCTACAGATGAGGCAGGTCCAGAGAGGTGCTGAC